CTCTCTCTCTCTTCTTCTTCTCTTCTCTCTCTCTCTCTATCTTTTCTTCCCCACCTTCTCTCTTCTCTCTCTCTCTCTCTCTCTTTGCTTATCGCCATATCGCCCTTAATTATCCATCCTCTACCAATCATAGCAATTTGCTTTTTCATTTTTAATGCAAAATTCCATTACCCTGCCAGTATAATAAACGAAGCAACAGAATGCGACTGCATCAGACGAAAGATGGATCTCGTTGCGAAAGCTTCGTTGTACGAAGTAAAGTTGCAAGCCTTCAGGTGTCTGGAAAGAATCTGACTTTGATTATTCCGCACTCATCAAGGCCCTCTTCCAAAACGTCAAAGTTAATACAACCAGTTAGATAAAAGCGACGAGTAGCGGTTAACGAAATAGAAGGGTTAAATCGAGGAGCGTTGCTGCAAAACTGTCCAAAGCAATCAACTTCTTGAACGAGAGCTGTTTTATTCCTATTATTATTACGTGATACTACTTGTCGCAAATTCTGTGAGCACTTTGGTACGATCATCGATCGATTTCAACAGCGACAGGGTGACATCGCGAATTCTGGGTTCGAGTCCGTAAAGCGTCTACACACAACTGAGCCAACGGGTATGTGTACGATTTTTTTACTTTTATTTTAATTTTTAATTTTTTTTTTTTATGTTACCAGCATCTGATTTTATATGTGTAATTAATTTTTCTCTATGGAAGGAGAACGAAAACTCCAGGTTTAACGGTAAAAGAAAAATAAAATTGATGTTGCAGATACACGATGCTGTTTTACTGATTTTTCATAAAATTTATATTTATTGTAGATCCCTCTTGAAATCGCACAGTCAAGAGCATATGTTGATAAATGTTCTTGGTTACCCACTTGGTTGGTTAGCGCACTTGTTATTTTCTCAGTTAAATTTGTTATTCGTTCCAAGCTTATACAAATATAAATTCATTTGTTACGTGACGTATATGGATTTTGTACTTTTGAAATACATGCGCGCCTCATGGTAAACTCACATATAAATCATTCATACAAATTTTAACTAAAGTTACTTAGTCGAAAATGCATATAATCATATGATATTGTAATATTTATGTTTAAGCATATACGCATTAGTTTGGGTCGCTCGCTTGCGATGTTCATTGAAGAACGCAGAAATAATTGATTAATCCTTCTTAAGAGTTACTCCAATGTAAAACAAAGTCAATATGAAATGATAATACCGCGTCGTGTATACGAAGAATATCAATTTTATTAGAGCCATGCATTTGTCATAAGTGTTTTGCACAATGACAATAACAATTTTTTTTATTTTAATATACTCTAGAATGGCTCGTTTAATGAGCAACTAATTCATCTTTTAAATAAAAGTAAAGGCAGTGAAGCAATAAAGCACAAACACCAAAGTTTAATTCACGCTAATTATGAAAAAATTTATATTAGATAAGAGTATAAAATACAAATTTTTATAATTATTCAGTAAAATATTAATTATTTGATATGAAATTAATAACTTTAATTTTAATATATGTTGTCAGAGTTATGACCACTGAATCAAAACATTTTTATCTGTCGTTTATTGTTAAAAAGTTAAATAAAGCAAATTATATAGACGTTTAATTACGTAAATAATATAGATATAATAAAAAATTACTATAAAGATATGCTACAAAATTTGGAATTCACAGTTTTATTAAAATCATAATGTTCCATATTTTATAAATATAATATAGAGTTACACTAGTCGATGAATAAATATCGGAATATACATCGGAAATTCATGATATATATAAAAAGAAAAAGAAAAAAAAAAGAAAAAGCTACTCAACAACAAACCACTTAATAATTGTTTATTTGTTCTTTAAAAATGCCATGTGTTATCTTTAAAAAAAGAGAATAATAAACTTTTATTAAAACAAATGAAAAAACGCAAAAAGCATTAGTATATGACCAATACTTCAATTAATTTAATGATTGATATTCACTAGTAAATAATCAATATACAGGTTTTCCTTTAAAAAAGAAAAGAATACATATTTTTAATAAATATTATATAAATAATTTAAATATATATATTTAATAAGTTATTAGTATTTATCTAAGAACCTAAATATCAAAATATAATCTCTGATCTGTTGCTTTTCAATAAAATATATACATATTTTTCTTTTTTACTTAATATAATTTTTATACATTTTTAAGTAAAACACATTTTAAATCTGTATAAAAATTAGATATGGAAAATACCAATTATTTAATATTTGCAATTTATTATTTTGAAGTCACATTATTTTAATACTTTTAATAATTTCTAAATAATCATTTAGTATTCTGTGACCGGCAGTTATTTTATCTTACTTACGATTATATATGACATAACTTGGATATGTAAATAATATAGAAATTGCAGTCGCATGTGAATTATAAAAAACGAGTGAATTATCATTTCTGCAATCTCTTTTTATCTATTTTATTAGAAAATATAGCAATCTTTTGCAGTAAGCTCCTTGATTGCATACATATACGTTACGTATATAACCATACTTTGAAAGAATGCATTTTTTTTTATTTATTAAGTCGTTAAATTAATTGTTTAAGATGTCTGTGAAACGTGAAAAGCAGAAGTAACAGAATAGTACATGACGTAAAAGCAAAAATTTTTCAAGATATATTTCAAGAACAGCATTACATTTATGAAATGTTACATATATTCATGAAAGTGATTTATTTTAAGAGAGGATAACTATAGTTAATCATTTTTCCGTGCCTAATGATAATGATTTCGTTGCATGAAAGTTTTAAAACAAAATGGAAATATCATGATAAAATATCATAGCGCTACAGTGTATAACATATTAATTATCGTAATGTTGGATAGTATATTTACAAGGTGCATGCTCCATGTCGCTCATTCATATTATCGCTCTACCGACTCATTATCGTGATATTAACGCGATCTTTTTCTAGTGTACAACTTTTCATACAATTTTATTAATAATTTATATATAGCAGTTATTTCAATGCAGAATACTTCCATAATTACAAAAATGAGATTATTCGAGAATTTTATTATATCTTCTCAAGGGAGTAATTTTTCTGTAAGAATATAATTTTTAGGATATTTATAAAAATCATAGGATAACCAATAATAAGTAATATATTTTAGCGTTTTTTAAATAGACGTAACAACTAAATTTCAACTTCGATAAAAATTGTGTTTGCACGCATAAATCAGATAAGCAATTCTGGATGCTCTGCTAAAATTGCTGGTTAAATTATTTAGTTGCATCAGAGGATGGAGCACAGCAGCTTAAACAGCGATTATGAGGGAGGAAGGGGGAGAGAGAGAGAGAGAGAGAGAGAGAGAGAGTAGGAGTAGATTTAAAATTGAGGAAAAATCAGGAAAACAATTCGGGATGAAAACAATTGAGAAAAGTTTTTATTCGGTGATATATGCATAGTAAAATTTCTGTTGTTTTTAAAAGTTGCATTCAAGTTTTCTCATGTTGCGTTAAGTTTTTTCTCAAATTTTGTAATAAATCAAAGAGACATAAATAATTTACCATAAATTCATGTAACTTTCCATAGCATAAAATATCAACGGATTCTATCGTCGCATGTGAACAATAGAAAGCTAAAAAATATTAAAAAAGAAAAATTTTCTGAGGAGCAAAGCTTTCTAGCTATCGGTGTTGGAAAATTCGTTTTTAATGGAAAATTCATACTTTAATGGAAAATCGTGCTTAATCATTTAATGGAACATTTAATGGAAATTCGTTACTTAATATAATTGGTTCAATATTAATATTTCTTTTTTTAATAAATTATACATTTTTACTAGTTTTATCGATATTTTACATAAAGACGTGATTTATTTGAAGAACAGCCGTAATATATTGATTAAATATACTAGCATTTCTAATATATAAAAATGCTTACTTAAATAATAAAGTTTTGTACAATACATAATAAAGTTTTTCAATCAAAAATAAATTTATACATACAATTATAAATAGAAAGTGCTTAAAATTAGCTAATAGTTAGCATGTTCAAATATAGTATATCTCATCTTTATTAGCAGATGGATGAAATGAGGAGCGTAGTAGGATGTAGTGTAGTGTGTACATTGTACATAGAGATAACAGAAAATGTAATGTCCTGAAGAACGGAGCTTTGGTCTTGCGAAATTGTACGATATACATTGTGCATTATGAACGAATAGCACAAGCTACGAAGTTTTATGAACGAATGTCTTGTAATAACTCAAACAGCGGATTTACACAGTATTATAGAAAGACGCGTAGCAACATCTCGAAGAACACGTTTGTGAAACAAATGGGAAATATTTTCTTGCGAATAATTTATTTCATATAAATCTGATATGATGAACTTAATTTTACGTCACTTGATTGGGACAATTTTGTACACGCCTTTCTGATGAAATTGCGTCAAGCATACATTTAAATAGCTTAGGTCTTCATATCGATAGACGTGTTATTGACAACAATAACAGGACATAACGAATCATCCTTGCAACTGACAACTTTTTTATAAAAGCATAAATTGCATTTAGTACAAAAATTAATAAATCGATAAAGGAATGTATATGAAAATGGCAAAATTTGCTCTGAAGTTGAAATAAAAAAAACTAATTCCACACAGTGTTTCTTGGTGTATATGAAAGAAAAAAAATATTTATAATGCTGGAGAATGCTGAGAAAATTACTGATAAAATACCTTATAAAACGTATGTATATAACTGGAATATAACGTCACGTACTGCATATGTAATATTATGTTTCAGTTTATTTGATTTCTATTTTTACTCGTGTATATGTATGATATGTGCGCGCACGCACGCACACACACACACACACACACACACACACACACACACACACACACACACACACACACACACACACACACACACACACTTCTTTTTTAATGCAAAAGTGAATTGAAAAAATGTTGATTGAATGTTGTACATAGTACAAGAGTTATCTTTGTTTTTAATCTTGGCTATTGTAATTGCGTGTTTCGATTGCTCTTAGAACGAATTGAAACCTAATTAAATTAGAACGGTTGTCGTTGCCATTACTCTTTACTATGATTGCAACATCCGGCGAGAACCGGAAAAAAATATGCGTTCTATTTGGAATGATTAAAGTGAGTTCATATTCGCGAGTAAGAAAAGAAATATAGTCCTAGACGTATGGACCGAATAGCGAATATATTAAAATAAGTATCGACATATTAATTTGAAAGCTACATCAATAAAATATGATATGATAATATTTTATATAACGCACTAAATTAAAATGTGTAAAATAATAATTACGTGTAAAATACTAATTTTATACATAATATATCATCTCGATGTAGATCTTAAGTTAAATATTAATATGTCAAACTTTACATAACTTCCGCCTGACGTTGTTGCTGCTTTGCGTGTTCTTCTCGCAGAAAATGGAGTTCTTCTAAAATTCAGCGGTGTACCATCCTCTAAATAACTTGATATTTCCATATATGCTCCGCTGTGCGTGTGCAAGCCTTCTTTCATACAATAGTTACACGTCACCTCTCATTCTTCGTCAGCACCGCCCGTCAT